CATTCACAAAGCATTTGCTCCATAACTCCTCAGTTCCCTGGAGGACTCCCCCGTCCCTGGACTTGGTACACACTCTGCCCTCAATAGGGCACATGTTCCAGCCTGCCCCCCCACACACCCCCCGGCCAACTCCTCTGCTCATCCCTCAGGTCTCAGCTTGGATGTCACCTCCTCCAGGAAGCCTCCTCTGAACCCGAGGAGGTGGGTACTACTAGCTTCATTTTACAGATAAGGAATGTGAGGAACAGAGAGGTTAAGTGACTTGCCCAAAATTACATGGCTAAAAAGTGGGGGAGTTGGTTTTGAAGCCGGTGCAAGCTGAACCCAGAGCTTTTAATGCAGTCATCACTTCCTTAACCAGTGGTTCTAAAAGCGAGGTACCGGGACCATCTTTAGCAGCAGCAGCATCACCTGGCAAATTTTCAAGCCTCACCCCAGACCTACTAAGTCAAACTCTGAGCAATCTGAATTTAAACAAGCCCTCCAGGAGATTCCCATACTTGAGAATCACTGGCCTAGAGGACTTTTCTGCAGTTTAGCCACCTGCTGTTCAGCCACTGCTTGTGGCTCACTAGTCCTTGCAGGTCTAAAAAGCTTCACAGCTGGAGAACGGAACATGGTCTGTCCTCTGACTTTCTGGCCATTTGAAATGCTTCTGTGGGAGTTCCACAGCCCTGGGCTTTGGGGACCGGGGAAGCATCATCTGCTTTTTCATCAGCGTGTCAGTGACTCACTCCTTCCTTTGTTTGAAGCCTTCTTCTTTGTGCCCATCAGCCTTGGCTGCGAAAGTTTGATCCAGTAATGCTTTAAAGCCCAAGCCACCTTCATCCCAGGTGTAGACACGGCTGCCACTCTAACCACCTTCTTATAGGAGCATAATCAATTCACTGGGGTAACAGTCTGCAGCTTCTTGGTCAGCAGAACCGATCTCCCCAACACAAAAACTTTTGTTTTAATCAGTCCAACCAGCTGCTATTACTTTTTTTCCTTTTTTGTTTGTTTTGCCCTCTCAACCCAGCTTTGCCCAACTCCAGGAAGAATTGGTAAGAGAAGGCCTGTTGCTTTAACTTTAGTTCTGATCATTACATATTTCTGCTTCAGGTATAAGAATTGGACCAGAAATAGCGAATCCTAGAGATTGAGCTTGAACAAATCCAGGTTTCTGCTGTTTACCTGGAACTTTCTCCACACAGCTCCCAGAGTGCTGGCAACCAGATGACAACATGTCTTGGGGAAACTGACCAATGTAAGATAAAAAGCCTAAAGACACTCTTCCCCAGTGGAACAGCCTGGCAGATCACCTCAAGGGGAAGACACAACCAAGAAGCCACACCCACAGACCTTTGGAAAGCTTACTGGAGGCAGAAAGGAGGGGATCTGCTCCAAAGTCATTCAGGGGCTCAGGCCCCTTCCAGCTTGTGGCTCTGTCTTCCTCTAGGCTTTCAGAGTCCTCTCAACTTGCCCAGCAAATGAGAAAAGAGTGGAGGTTTTTAGGGTCCAGGCTTGGTAGAAGCACACACCATCTCTGCTCACATTCCATTGGCCAAAACTCAGTCATGTGGCCCCACCAAATGGTAAGAGAGCACGGGAAAATTCATCCAGGTAACACCCCAGAAGAAGAGAACATGGGTATGGGTGACCAATAGCTATTTCTGCCACCTAATACATTAAAAAAGCTTTAGGGCCGGCCCAGTGGCGCAATGGATAGTGCACCGCTTGGGAGCGCAGTGGCGCTCCTGCCGAGGGTTCGGATCCCATGTGGAGACCTGTTCCCGCTCACTGGCTGAGCGCGGTGCGGGCGTAACACCGAGGGTTGCGATCCCGTCACTGGTCAGTAAAAAAGACAAAAGGAAAAAAAAAAAAAAAAAGCTTTAAAAGCAAATCAATGATAGATCCTTAATCAGCCAAAAAGTACTGTTCTGTCACGAAAAGCACACAAGAAAAAAACTGTAAGTTTTAGAAGGTACACAAATGGTCATATGTAAACTGAAACCAGCTCAGGTGATCATCAGTCTCTGATTTCCAGCCTCCCTTCCTCACCTCCTGCAGAAGATAAGAAATTGGGACCCCACCCCACCCCTCTGAGAAGATAGGCTGAGACAAAAGTGGACCCCACCCACCACATTACACCAGAATTCATGTCATCTAGAGGCTTTCCTGTATTTGTTGAATTAACAGCTGAACAAGGAATGAATGTCAGGTGCTGTGGAGGCCACAGAGAAGGAGGACACCTGCATAGCTCCATCTCTAAACTCTACCTCCTTCCACTGGCATCTTTCCCAGCTCAGCTCGAACATCACCTCCTCCAGGAAGCCTTCCCTAACCACCCACCCCCCACACTGGGCATTATCAACTCCCACCTACTTGCTCTGTATTCCTGCAGTTAATCCATCTTGCTTATTAGAGTCTGCTGTTCATGTGGCTGGCTCCCTGTCAAGTGGAAGCCTGGGGATCTGGGGTCCACTCTGGGCCTTGGTTCCCTCCTCTGTAAAATCAGGGGTGGGGGGGTAGACTATGTTACTAAGTTCTCTGTGACTCTACAGCCTGTTCAGCAATCTCTGCCATTGGATGCCACCCAGTGCCACAAGCCTTCACAAACTCAGTCTGTGCCATACACAGTTCCAAGCACCTAGCATAATTTCCTCATCTAATCCTTCCAAGCACACTAGGAGGTAGATACTAACATTGCCCCCATTTTACTGATGAGGAAACCGAGGGCCAGAGAGGTGTAGCGACATGTCCAAAGTCACACCCCGGGTGATTGAACCAGAATTTGAACCCAGGACTCCAGCCCAGCCCGTGAGTATTTCGTCCTGCTTTCCTGGCTGAGTGGCCCCAAGGCAGGGAGCGCCCACAACCTAGGACCCAGAAGTCGGACTCCTGGAGTGCGTCCCCACTGGGCAAATCTTAACCCCCCTCCCGCAGCCCATCTGTCACACTCTGGGCGCAGCTGCGCTGGTTCCTTACAATCCCCACGCGGGCACAGGCGAATCTAGGCCGGGGCTTACCCACCCGGAGGCCGCCGCCCGCGCGCCGCCGATCGCGTATTACAAATATGCCCGGTCCCTTGGCGCACACGCCGGAGGCGCCGGCCAACACCCGGACTCTCGCAAACGGCAATGCAACGAGGGCGCATCTACACAGTCCTCGAGTCCGGGAACTCGGGCCGACGCAGGCCTCTCGCTCAGGGGACGGGGTGCGGGATACGGCTGCGGCCCTGCAGGGGACAGGAAGGCAGCGCCGCGCCCACCCGCTGCGGGCCCCGGGCGCCCCGGGCGCAGGCTCCCACGCTGCCGCCCATCGCTTGCCAGTTGCTTTAGCCAGCGACCTGGCCGCCGGTCTGCACGACCGCCCCACTTTACAGAAGCAAACACTGAGTCCCGGCGAGCTCAACCACC